GGTCCACATCAAACAGTCAGATTTGCCTCATATTATAACGCTAAACTTCAGTGTTTTAATTCCAGTACAGCAACCCTGGAAGTGACGTTGTGGACTGTTTCACTGTCAACTGCGTAGGCGTTATGAATTGGGTGGTTCCTCCTGTATGTTGGATTCCTAGGGCAATCAAACACATGTCAGAATGTAAGGCTAAGGGTACCCTGGTGATAACAGAGTGGCACTCTGCTTATTTCTGGCCATTGATTTGTCCCAACTGAGTATTCATTCCACAGGTGAGTGATCGGATGTATTTGCCCCGATCGAAGGAGACTTACGTTGCCAGAATAATAAAGGGTGGCATGTTTGGGGAGAGAGATCTTTCATTTACCATGTTAGCTCTTAAAATTGATTAAGATTGTCTTTTGTGTGTTTCAGATGTATTCCGGTCAGCCTATAGTGATGAGATTGCTACACTTCCGAGAGATGTCCGCGAATTAGCAGGGAGTCTGCCAGGCCTCTTACCAGAGTGTAGAGCTGAGTCTACAACAAGAAGTATACCTATGTCTTTGGAGCTTGGAAAAGATGGGCGGTCGTCAATTCTATGTCTGTAAAAGTGTCATTATCGCCGTTGCACTGTATCTGTTACCTGTATTTCAGCAGAGTGATTCTATCCTGTTCAGACATCGTTCTATAGCATCCGTCATTGTCATACTTGTATTGGTTTAGCAAGTCTAACTGATAATTCACTGGTGCGTAATGTTTTGGAGGCAGCAAGGCGTAAATTGGCTAAAGAAGGAGCCAAATTACGATTAGATTGCTAGAAAAGTTGTTTGATGGTAGAATGGAAGATCCACCACTGTATGAGAATTATGTCAATGTGCTTATTAGCCTTAGCTGGGTTTTTAATGTCAGCAGAATTGTTGCAGATCACAAGATCAGACATTGTATTTTATGATGGTATTCATTAAGCAGTCGAGGACTGATGTCTACAGAGACGGGGCGTGGCTGGCTGTTAGACGGACAAACACCAAGCTTTGTCCAGTGGTACGTTTAGAGAGATATCTCAATAGTGCGGAGATAAGTCTCGATTCATCTGAATATATATTCAGAGATTTGTCCAAATGTATTGATGGTTATAAACTTAGAAATATTTATGTACCTATGACTTCTTGTCATTTAAAGGAACTGTTCATTGAAGCATTAACGTCATTTGTTGACAATATGAAGCATTATGGACTGCACAGTCTTCGAAGTGGTGGTGCATGGGCAGCAGCTAATAATGGCATCCCCGATCGCATGTTTAAGAGAGACATGGTCGTTGAAGTGAAAAAGCCAAAGATGGCTACATGAAAGATAATCTTCACTTTCCCTTGGACTCTAGACTTTGTTTGAATCTCTGCCGTGTACCGCACAATCGTTCCAGTGTATATTTGTGTTGTGTTGTGTTGTGTTTTAGATGGTTATAAGTTTGGTGTGGTCTAGAACATTTTTCCTTCGTTTGAAGTATTGAATTAGAGGGGAACTTTCTCCTCGTGGTACGTTCTGTAATCAAGGGATGTAATCATATGTAATTGTGCCAGTAGATGGCGCTGAAATTTGGGGTTATATAAGGGTAGGGCTTTATGATGTCGCCTCTCTCACGGCAGTTCAATTAACAACATGTAGATGTATTGATGTTTGCTTCATGACTATGTACATGTGTTTTTGTTTGTTTTTTAATAATTCCGTTTCTAATATCGTTTTTATGTGTTTCAGGCAGTTCGTTTGAGATGTGGACGTGTGGCGGTGAAGCCACATACTGTTATGGTCACGTGTCGCTGTTGACAGGCCATGCATGTTGATGATGCTGGAGAGCTGTTATAATACTCACTGGTATAATTGTGTTTACTATCACAAGTGTATTGTGGCTGCAGAGCCTTTAGAATATTTTGTATATATGTTTGCATTTCATTGGCTACACAGTGCAAGGTAGGCTACAGAGCCTTTAGAATATTTTGTATATATGTTTGCATTTCATTGGCTACACAGTGCACGGTAGGCTACAGAGCCATTAGAATATTTTGTATATATGTTTGCATTTCATTGGCTACACAGTGCAAGGTAGGCTACAGAGCCTTTAGAATATTTTGTATATATGTTTGCATTTCATTGGCTACACAGTGCAAGGTAGGCTACAGAGCCTTTAGAATATTTTGTATATATGTTTGCATTTCATTGGCTACACAGTGCACGGTAGGCTACAGAGCCATTAGAATATTTTGTATATATGTTTGCATTTCATTGGCTACACAGTGCAAGGTAGGCTACAGAGCCTTTAGAATATTTTGTATATATGTTTGCATTTCATTGGCTACACAGTGCACGGTAGGCTACAGAGCCTTTAGAATATTTTGTATATATGTTTGCATTTCATTGGCTACACAGTGCAAGGTAGGCTACAGAGCCTTTAGAATATTTTGTATATATGTTTGCATTTCATTGGCTACACAGTGCACGGTAGGCTACAGAGCCTTTAGAATATTTTGTATATATGTTTGCATTTCATTGGCTACACAGTGCAAGGTAGGCTACAGAGCCTTTAGAATATTTTGTATATATGTTTGCATTTCATTGGCTACACAGTGCAAGGTAGGCTACAGAGCCTTTAGAATATTTTGTATATATGTTTGCATTTCATTGGCTACACAGTGCAAGGTAGGCTACAGAGCCTTTAGAATATTTTGTATATATGTTTGCATTTCATTGGCTACACAGTGCAAGGTAGGCTACAGAGCCTTTAGAATATTTTGTATATATGTTTGCATTTCATTGGCTACACAGTGCACGGTAGGCTACAGAGCCATTAGAATATTTTGTATATATGTTTGCATTTCATTGGCTACACAGTGCAAGGTAGGCTACAGAGCCTTTAGAATATTTTGTATATATGTTTGCATTTCATTGGCTACACAGTGCACGGTAGGCTACAGAGCCTTTAGAATATTTTGTATATATGTTTGCATTTCATTGGCTACACAGTGCAAGGTAGGCTACAGAGCCTTTAGAATATTTTGTATATATGTTTGCATTTCATTGGCTACACAGTGCACGGTAGGCTACAGAGCCTTTAGAATATTTTGTATATATGTTTGCATTTCATTGGCTACACAGTGCAAGGTAGGCTACAGAGCCTTTAGAATATTTTGTATATATGTTTGCATTTCATTGGCTACACAGTGCAAGGTAGGCTACAGAGCCTTTAGAATATTTTGTATATATGTTTGCATTTCATTGGCTACACAGTGCAAGGTAGGCTACAGAGCCTTTAGAATATTTTGTATATATGTTTGCATTTCATTGGCTACACAGTGCAAGGTAGGCTACAGAGCCTTTAGAATATTTTGTATATATGTTTGCATTTCATTGGCTACACAGTGCACGGTAGGCTACAGAGCCTTTAGAATATTTTGTATATATGTTTGCATTTCATTGGCTACACAGTGCAAGGTAGGCTACAGAGCCTTTAGAATATTTTGTATATATGTTTGCATTTCATTGGCTACACAGTGCACGGTAGGCTACAGAGCCTTTAGAATATTTTGTATATATGTTTGCATTTCATTGGCTACACAGTGCAAGGTAGGCTACAGAGCCTTTACGCCCGTGAAGATCCGGGGTAGAATAGGTCTTCAGCAACCCCTGCTTGTCGTAAGAGGAGACGAAACTTGTCGTAAGAGGCGACTAACGGGATCGGGTGGTCAGGCCCGCCGACTTGGTTGAAGCATGTCATCGTATCCCAATTGTGTGGATCGATGCTCATGATGTCAATCACTGGATTGTCCGGTCCAGACTCGATTATTTACAGACCGCCGTCATATAGCTGGAGTGCGGCGTTAAACAACCAACCAACAAATGCAAAGCCTTTAGAATACTTGGCCTTGGAAATGTTCGGTTGGCAGAACCATTATTATACTTCTGTATTGTGTGTCTGTGGCCTGTGTTCGAGTAAAATAAAGATTTTGTATATAATCTGTATTTCTAAAAGTATGTATGACCTGAGTAAAAGGTAATTCAAATACTGTATACTCCCTAGTTACTGGTGCTGCTGCATTCGAAGGGAGAACATGGTTCCAAAGCTTTTTGTATTAACAAAAGCTTTTATCTCTGGTTTTTATGTGTCGGGCTTCAGCCACCGTTACCATCTGTATGTTTCGACATGTTGTATCATATGTAATACTGGTATATGGAGTGAGGTGATGTCACTGTGTGTTGCGTGTTGTGCTTAGAAAATAGACTGCCGTGTACCGCACAGCCGTTCCAGTGTATATTTGTGTTGTGTTTTAGGTGGTTATTAGAGTTTGGTGTGGTCTAGGAGAACATTTGTAACATTTGACCACTTTCTATATGGCATTGTGTGTTCAATGTTATTGCATGACGTTAATGATTGTGTGTTTAATTACATCAGTGATGCCAAAGCCCCGGGTTCGATCACCCACTTCGGTACAATTTTGCGAAGCCATTTCTGGTGTTCCCCGCCGTAATAATGCTGGAACATAAAGCGGCGTAAAACCATACTCACTCACATCAATGCTTGTACGCTACATGACATCAATGATAGTGTCCGTCTGTGACCTTTCAGTTTGATTTGTTCACTCCATGCGGCATGTTAGAAGTGCACGGCGAAGATTTGCAAATACATATTGTATAGCGACTATACATCAGCTTGTTGAATCAGACATTGTATTGTAATTTGAAACCTGTAATTGACCAATCAGAAACGAATATCACGGACGAGTATAGAGGGGCGTACAAGGGAGCCATTATTTACAGACCGCCGTCATATAGCTGGAATATTGCTGAGTGCGGCGTTACAACAAACAACAAGGGTGCGATCCTCAACATTTTTCAGATACATTACTTCTCCATCTGTGTATTTCTATCAAGTATTCAAACATTGTTCACTCCCACAGGAACTCGTTACTGGTCACACAATTCATTGCATCACCATGTGTCACGGGGCTTTGGAGTTACAAAGAAAAAAACATGTGATCAGCAGTTTATTGTGTTCTGTTTGTACAAAAAAAGAAATATAATGAAATATATTGTATAAAACATCAATACCAAACCACCATCCATGTGTGAAGTCAGAACATGTAGTTAAAACTCGCTACTATGTAACGTTAGAGATAAATGGTATAGTTATTAAAAATATTTAGGAATAAAAAACTCCTTCCATAAATATTGACAAAACGTAATGTCATATCTCCCTTCGTCTCAAAAGTAAAGACTATCCAATCATGGCGAATGTTTCCGTTGGTAGTTCGTTTATGATTATTAGTGATTTGCTCTAAACATAACTAGTATGTACATTATAATGAAGGTGTTTCAACATGTAAAAAGTCTGGACTAGTGATTGATATCATGAGCATCGATCTACGCAATTGGGATACGATGATATGTAGCAATCAAGTCAGCGATCCTGACCACTCGACCCCGTGTGTTGCCTCTTCTGACAAGCATGGGTTGCTGAAGACCTTTTCTGACCCGGATATTCAGAGGTCTCATGCGAACATGGACAAATTAGGACTATGAAAACGATTTGGTCAGGAAGAACAATTAAGCAATTATTCAGTTAAAGGCATTGTTCACAAGTGCTAAGTCTTGTATGGTGTAGTTTATAGTCAGAAGTGCAGAGAGTTCATGCAATATAAAAGCAACAATTATCTATTCGGCTTCACACCCCCAGTTATGTGTTTAACATTTGAAATAAACTCTGATTGGGGAATGATCACAAACAGAATGTTATTAATATACACTGATTATATATAATTAGGGTGTGAAATAAATTACGATCCAATAACATGGTTTGAAATCTGCGCCGTTAAAAAATATTCCCGGAGAGAAGGACACACAGAAGGAAATTATGTTGTAACAAAAAAGAAACATTTAAGATATTTAGTATATGAAACCCCTTCGACGAACACACTTAAAGCACAGTGTGATTCACAAAATAAACCTGTGGCTTCAGAAGTTGAAAAGAATATTCTAACTCAATCTGAATGAAAAGGAAAGGGAGAAACTTTCAAATGTATCTTGTCTGCTTGCACACTTAATTCCAAAGGCACAAATACATACCTGTATGAGTGACTCTCCCTGTCACCTGTTACAATAACATACATTCTTAACCCTGGATAAAGGCAGGCTCAGCCAACGTGCCACACACCACAGACAAACGCATTCACAAACAAACAAACACTCCGGTCTCATATTTTCCACTGCCATAAAGTTTGGGGGTGGGTGGGGTCTGCCTGTCCATCACGTATACTAGCTCGATCATACTTTGCACCGACAATTATCTAGTCATTGACTGCTGCCTTTTGCTGTTTAGGAACTCTTCCCACGACCCAAAAAAATCATTGGACGCTTCATTTTCGGTCATGAGCCATTTGTATTTCATTTACATATTTATCTTTCCCATTGTCCTAATTCCTCCGGAACAAATGGAAAACCGCAGTTGACCTAGTGATGTTCACTGCTCCTAGTGGTCGTCTCACAGTCACCTCACCCCACTGAGAGAACTGAAGGTAGCAGCTGTAGGCAGCTGGCATTTCAATCAGTTTTTTGGGTTCAGGGTCATTAACTCTTTACGACATCAGGCATCTTTTGTAATCGGGGGCTTGATTCTTGCATTCAAGAGAACACATCACTGCACGGGGATATGAGGGGTCCCAGCTTGCATTATGCAGAGTATTCAGATGCAGTTTTTTGTTTTTGACCTTCCAAATGTCGTAAATGCTTTCTCCTAAAATAATGGAGATTAAGTACACGTGTGTCTTGCTTTTTCCCTCATGTCGTACACGCCAATGTTCCAGCTGACGTGTGCACGTGTGAATTGTGGTAGCAAACATGAAAATTTGATAACGTCATGTGCAAGTTGACTATATCCCACCGGCATATAATGCGGGGGAATATAGTCGTCGCCTCGTCTGTCTGTCCGTCCGTCTGTAATCACGTTTTTTTCCGGATCACAACTCGAAAACCTTTCAATATTCTTCAACAACAATTGGCAAATATATCAAACAGATCCTAAAGTTGTGCCTGTCGTTATTTACGGAAATTTTGGCATTTTTAGTTTTCTCTATTTCGATTGGTGTGGATGGGGGGTTGGTGGGTTATTGAGTAACACTTACCCGTTCATTCATCACTGTCATGGATCTCCTATCCAGAATACAAGCAACTGAAGATGATATTACACAGTTCTGTACATAACATCACACATTCATGCCCATGAATCCCTCAGTGTTCTTCCATTGAGACATTCTTTACCCAAACATTTTTGCACTTTCGTTCATAATATCCCTATCATATTCGCCGTCATAAAGCTGGAATATTGCCGAGTGCGTAGTTAAACAACAAAACAACAACAACAACACTCCTATCCAGGACAGCGATCATTCATCCACTCAACCGTTCACTGGCATGCTCCTCTTGCGGTTCAATGGTTATGGTCAACAGAGATTTCTCGGCAACACTTTCCACGCGAGGAGATGCCGCCTTGAACAGCTCGGACAGGAACCCACAGAAAGCTGCTCCCAAGAACACTATACCTAAAACATACGAGGGTGATTATTCATGTCAACATTCGGATCGATAAATATAAAGTTACGCTGCTGTGCACTCCAACTATAGATGACCGTGATCGCGACCGGGCGTGAATATGTCGCACGACTACTCTTGTTTGAATTATCGTGGACTAGCGTGAGCACAAAGGTTCTTATTATACTCTGGACAATATTTTCAACCCATCAGATGGTTGCTTTCCAACACACACACGCCCATTCTGTGCGGTTCTGGTGTCGGCCATTTGTTCCGAGTTGGCTTCAAAGTGGCGAGTCGACGGCCTTCGGTCGATATTATGTTATAGTGAGTGAGTGAGTATGGTTTTACGCCGCTTTTAGCAATATTCCAGCAATATCACGGCGGGGGACACCAGAAATGGGCTTCACACATTGTACCCATGTCGGGAATCGAACCCTTGTCTTCGGCGTGACGAGCGAACGCTTTAACCACTAGGCTAAAGTACCCGACCGCTCCTATAGCAATAAAGAATTGGGGGTGGGGGTGGGGTGGAATTATGTATTGGAATCGATAGAATAATCACCCTAGACAAGGTAGATATGAAGTTTTTTGCGCATGGTTTGCGATTTTCCTCTAGAAACAGTGATATAAGGCGAGCGGTTCTGTACGGTGTGTCTGGCCTTGTGTAAAGATATAATAGGATAGTGCATTTCTGACACTCGTAAGATTAATTGACCAAGAAATATTTAAGCAACGACACAAAGGCCTTCTGGTAACAAATGTTTTGTTTGTTGTTTAACGCAGCAATTTTCCAGCTATATGACGAGTCTGGACCAGACAATCCAGTGATTGACATCATCAGCATCGATCCACGCAGTTGGGATCGACGACATGCTTCAACCAAGTCAGCGAGCCTGACCACCCTATCCCGTTAGTCGCCTCTTAGGACAAGCATGGATTGCTGAAGATCTATTCTACCCCGGATCTTCACGGGCAAATAACTGTTTATGTCATGTTGCCATGGTGTCTTGAATTGTAAACAATGTACGCAACTGGAACGTTCACATCAAGATAAGGCCAAAAAACATTGTTTCGGTAGAATTTCATTCAGAATACTTTTCCGGCAATGAGTCACAGAAATGTGCACGTGATATTAATTGACAAATATATTCGCTGAAGAACCTGAACCTACCTGCGAACAGGAATGATGTGAAATAGTCCCCATTGGCTTTCCATATGACAACTGGAAACGACAAGCACGTGAAACAGAACATACAATTATAAGAAATACGCAACATAACAGCTATTGTAATACATAATTAAAATATAGCAGTATAAAATGTCACTATCATCAAATATTCACAATTATGTCTTTTTAGTACATGATTCACAAAGGAATGATGTTATCAATTCGAGATATATTTGGGTTAATTGTTACGCTCCAGCAGTGGAAATACACCTTGGCACTGCTTACAGACCCCACCTGTTCCCTGTATATAACATATACCTATGATACATATTTTTAAAAGTTTTCACCCAGCCTGTATCGTTTCAACGTGCAAAGAGCCTCTGGTTGTCTCTTTGGAACAACTCTTTCACTGTTGCACTATCCTGTAGTCGAAGTCCTCGAGACAATCGAATATGTCTCGAGAATACGTGGCTGGCGACACTCGCGAACTAATATGAGACCAGTGAATTATTGTTTATTCTTCAGGGATCATATCCTTCTCTTATATGTCTGTTTGTTTTTTATGTTTAACGCCCCACTCAGCAATATTCCAGCTATATGACGGCGGTCTGTAAAGAATCGAGTCTGGACCAGACAATCCAGTGATTGATATCATGAGCATCGATCCACGCAATTGAGATACGATGACATGCATCAACCGAGTCAGCGAGCCTGACCACCCGATCCTGTTAGTCGCCTCTAACGACAAGCATAGTCGCCATTTACGGCAAGCATTGGTTCCTGAAGACCTATTCTACCCCAGATCATCACGGGTCTTTTCTTAAGAGAAATCGAGTACTTAATGCAATTCGATTTGACGAGTAATCTTGTGATATTTAAGAAATATGTTGTTACAGATAATAAATAGTTGCTACCTATAGGTATACGCCAAAACGCATTATTTTTCACTATGTGATATAAAACAGGGAGACATGGCATTATTGTCCAACAAAATTGCTCACATGCCTCTAAAGGAAAGGAAACAGACACCAACACATGGAGACGTGAAGCAAGAAGTGGTACATGTAAAAAATTTACCTGCAGTGGGTGGACCCACTAGACATCCAGCTCCGGCGAAAAACATAAGGAGCCCCACGCCGAACGCGAAGTTCTCTACCCCAACACTGTCCAGAGTCATCGGACTCAGGAGGGTGAATACGCCCCCAACGTAAGTACCGAACAGAAAGGCGTATATGTATCGACCTGTCGAAGATTTGACAAATATCGACATAAAGAACGTCAATGTTCCAACAATTCCATTGGTGCCTGAGAAAAATAACATCTTGCCAATATTGTCATCATTGGCACCAATCCCAACTAGCACGCGCGAGAAGAACCCCCCCAGACCTGTGAGCGAGGCTGCCATTGCTGCCTCTTGTTTAGTGGCGCCATTCCTGTGAAAGAAATCAGGTAGAAGGACGATCACCGCTGAAAATCCGATTGAAAACAATGTCACACCAAGGACAATGAAGGTAAAGGAAATATTTTTTATCCCCACAGTGATGAAGGTATTCCAAAAGTTCCCCAAACGTGTTTGAGTTTCTGAGTGTCCATTGACCCTCCTCTCTTTCTGAATACACTGCATCTCGCGCTCATGTTTTGATGGTCTCATGAGAAAGCCAAAGACACAGGTCTGGAATGATATGGCCCCTATCAATCTGAAGGCTCCCTCCAGACCATAGTGGTCTAAAAGGGCTTGAGTCATTCTTGGGTGGACAAACATCCCGAGACCGACACCAGCGGTGCATAGTCCGGTCACCAGGCTACTGTCTCTAGGGAAATAGTATCCTAGAATCACCAGCGAACCAGTGTATGTCAGACCGCGACCAAAACCTGAAAAAACAAATATTTGAGAGCCTTTAACAATGAATTTCAGACAGCTACGCGATAAGACGCAAAGAACGAAGTGTGGTTTATTTCACGATAAAACATTGTTCTATCATGACGTCATTTCTGAAGATTCCAACATGCGCTCGCAACCTGATGACGTATATTGGACGACGTTATTTTTGAGAGGGGAGTGTCTAGTGAGTTGTTCCCCATAGATGTAGCTGGGCAACGCAGATAAACGCGTTGGCCGAACGATTGCATACACAAGCGGGAGAGATATGACGATTGTTATCGGGAGAAAAGGTACAGATCATCGACGTGAGGATTGTGAGAATATGAGGGAAATCCCCCCCCCCCCCCCCCCCCCCCCCCCCCATGTACATAACATGGACTTGTCCGACATGGCCGAGGTAGGGTTCTATTGAGGGAGTCGTCGTTATTAAAATACAGGTAAACCTTATTAAAGCAAGTTCATTTCATCATCATCAAGTGGCTGTACATAATGTTGATATCTCATATATGACATAAACGACTCGTGGTCGTTGTTTATCGTACAATAAAACACTGCAGGGAGAATAAATCATGAAAGGCCGCGGCAGTGTTTTATGTGTAGGATCAAAACCGCGCCCGAGGTTTTGTTTGGGAAGTATCCCCGCGGAGGAGGGAAAGGGGGGAGGGCAGAGTCTCATTATATTGTTCCTCGGGTTTATTTGGCTTTACAGTACGTGTTCAAGTATCAGGTGTACATGGCTATACCCGTGGGGACCAGTGTTAGACTGTATCTAGCGCTTTATTATTGTGTGTTATATTATGTGTTTTTTTTAAATGGATGGCAGGTTTTGATGATTGCGTGTCAGAGAGAGAGAGAGAGAGAGAGAGAGAGAGAGAGAGAGAGAGAGAGAGAGAGAGAGAGAGAGATGGTTTAGGTGAGGTTGGGAGTTGTAGTTGACCTGTTTCAATGATCTCAAAAAGTAAAGTGTCCGAACTTTCGACATAACAAAACAGCAGAACTATTTCAGATTGATACATGCAGAAAAGGGCTGAATAATGGGCTTACATAACATTTTCAAAATAGCGGACGATGTTTAAAATGTGATCGGTAATATGTGGACAAATTGCTGGCATTCACCAAAAGGAGATTTCTGGACATAAAGTCAATTTTTACCTGCTAAGAAGCCGTAGGTTACAAACAGTAGTCGTATGTCGGTGACGAAGCTGCTGAGTGAGAACCCGATCAGGCACGTGACACCGGACAGCACCACACACGCACGGCAGCTGAATAAGCCGATAACGAGGCTTGCGGCCGGTCCTGTAAGAGAAAATATTATTGTTCAACCGTGTATTAAGTAACTTCAAAATGTTTGCAGAGGAGAATAAAAAATATTTGTCATCTATCGAAAGGATGAGATCCCTAGGAGAAGAAAATTATGGGAACTGGTGCCCCTTGTTTAATTTCGATAGAAATCATAATTGTCTTCATGGTTCAATATATACGTGTTTGTTATATAACGCCGCATGATATCTCCAGCTTTATGACAGCAGTCTAAAATAATCGAGTCTGGGCAAGATTATTTAGTGGTTAAATCATGATCTACGCAATTGGGATAGGAAGACACGTATTAGCTAAGTCGGCGGGCCTGACCACCCGATCCTGTTAGTCGCCCCTTACGACAAGCATGGGTTGCTGAAGACCTGTTCTATCCGGACTCGGATGCATGTCATAAGGAGAGAACTGACTGACTATCCTTCAGGTGTGTGGTTAAGGATAACAGATCCAAAACTTGTTTTTAAAGAGATTTCTTAAGGTTATTGTAGATCGGGTGTATTGTACTTTAATTAAAAAGTGATTTACTCGGAAGGACAATTCAAAGTGTTCCTTCTCTTTTCATAGAACTATTTGGAAGTTTTTTTTCATTACTGATATCAGTGCACTATTCTCTCTCAACCCATACTTTTATTCCACATTCGTTAATACCAGGCCCAATTTCACAAACTGATCTGAGCGCTACTAGCGATTGTCCTAAGTCGTCTTAGCTCTTAGAGTGAGCGAGTTACAACTTAACGTGGCATCGGCATTATTTCAGTCATATTGCGGCCTTAGGGCTAAGATCGCTTTGTGGAACGGCCCTAAGGTAATAAAACAAAACCCACTTTAGAGTCACACATGCTGTAAACATGAGGCAACCAGTCGTAAACTTAGAATTGTTGTTCTATATGCAACGTCTCAAGTTTACCGACTGGATTTGTGGTCTTCGATTATCAGCCGCACAGCTTCATTCCTGCGATAGATAGATTTAAGATTACCGTTAGAACACCCCAGTACAAGACAGTGATTACAAACGCGTATCAGCTGTATTCAATTGACTCGCATTTTCCAAATCCGAAACATTTTATTTTTATTATGAGAATAATTGGTAATTTACAAAATTCTAAATGTGGTTTTGTCAGAAATACTTAAAAAAGGCTAGTTCCAACTACACAGCGGTTGTCGTTGTTTGTTTTACACTGTAAGTGCAAGTGACTTACCCGTGTTATTGCTCTTCAGCAAACCATGCTTCAAAGAGGCGACAATGCTTGTAAAATGCGGCAATGCTTGTGAGTGAGTATGGTTTTACGCCGCTTTTAGCAATATTCCAGCAATATCACGGCAGGGGACACCAGAAATGGGCTTCACACATTGTACCCATGTCGGGAATCGAACCCGGGTCTTCGGCGTGGCTTGTAAGAGGCGACTAACGGGATCGGGTGGTCAGGCTCGCTGACTTGGTTGATGCATGTCATCGTATCCCAATTGCGTAGGTCGATGCTCATGATGCCAATCACTGGATTGTCTGGTCGAGACTCGAATATTTACAGACCGCCATCATACAGCGGCATTATCACTGAGCGCGGCGTTAAATAAACAAACAAACAAACAAACAAACAAACAAACCTGTGAGTGCAAACATGCAGTTAAACAGCGACCCCAGCCATGCGAGCTCCTGAAGTCCGTAAAGTCCCGTTTCTTCTAAGGACACATGCATGACACCGGTGATATACCCCATGCTGCCGCTGAGGAACAAGGAGAAGAAGGCCGACACGACTATCACCCAGCGCCATCTGTCGGGCGGAGGGTCGGTGGCGTGGTTTGCCATCACAACCTAATTTAAGTCATCACCTGACAAAAGAAAGAGGGAAAATACTTCAACGAATTGTGACGGGGTACGTTCGATCAGTGCGGAACAATACCCTCCCAAACACCAGGCATGTGTTAATGATTAAACTATGTAAACAGAGCGATACCTGAAAGGAAAAGAAACGACAGCGAAAGACGAGAGTTCTACGCGTGAAAAAAATGTTCAACAGAAGAAAAAAACGATTCGTGGGATGACTTCGTGGCTAGTTGTGCAGTGCACACGTAATTAAGCAGCTTATACCAGAGACCATATAATAGATTCTATTATATGGTCTCTGCTTATACACGGGACACTGTTACACACGCATATATATATATATATATATATATATATATATATATATATATATATATAACAAACCCAACCATTAGTGCAAGTGTACCTCAGATTAAAAGATGTCTGTATCCCACAATATCACTCCAAATCGAAGGATAAGAAGCTTCCTCCTCCCAACGCACGTAGCACGCCTTTTATGCGTTGGAGCTGCAGGAATTGAGCGTCTTGCCCCACATTCCCCAAACACAACACTCGTACTGGTGAACCCAATATGGGGTCATGTTGAAGGTAAACCGTCCAAGGCTGTAGACATATTCCCTCGTGCTTATGGCTTGAGTAATAACGGCCCATGAATTACCCACCATCCTATATCTTCCTCGCAATGTTAACATAGGCATTATCAGCACCACTGCGTCGAAAGGTGAGTCCCCGAAAACGCTCTTGCAATACGATATGTGTGTATGACGTAAATAGCCTTCGTTATCTACCTCGGTGTGCTAATCGCTTAGTTATGACTGCAGTTTCGACATCGACTCGCACTGGAATAGCGACTGTTGCAAGTCTAGCAGAACAAACCGCGCTGCTCCTACGCCTTGCGAGGAGGTCGCCCTGATAAATAAATCGCAGTTTTGTCCCGACGTAGCACACGTGTCGATTTCACACCGAACAAAGGCAAAATGACATTAATCTGTTATGCAAACCTGAACAAAGTGCTGTCGGAAATAGGTGAAGGATGTTTTTATCTGACAGTTGTAAGTGTACAAATGTAATTCAGACAACACTCACATACTCAAGGACGTGAGATAAAGTGAAATGGGGTTTATGGTCGCGTCCAAGATTATTGCACTTATATCAGTGGTTAAATCCATTTGCCAGTGGTGATTTTTATATTTGAATGAGGATAAGCATTGTCAGGCATTATATACAGCGACGTGCATGCATTTGTGTGTGTGTGTGTGTGTGTGTGGCTGCTTGTCCGGACTAATGCCGATTTAATTTATACTGACTCAGAGCAGACCAGTCCTTGTATTAGCCCCTAAATGCCGATCACCAGACAGGGTTACAACAAGTACCATCTTTTAACGTCTTTTGGTATGATGCGGCCGGGGATCGAACCCACGACTTTCCGCTCTCCGGGCGGACGCTCCACCACTAGACAAAGGACGCGGTCCCACAATCTTAAAGGACAAGGTACGAAGTGATAATGCGCTCATTACTCATAAATTAATCACAAATCAATAATCACGACATATTATCGTGAAATAACCCACGCCTCGTTCTTCATTGTTCTTTGCGATTTATCGGGTAATAATGTTATTTATCGCCATTCCATTATGATAATTACCCTTGACCCATTCTCCATCATAACTTCTTTGAGGACTTGGCGCGTACACCATGGAGGCTACCCGGGAAGACCCGGGGTAGAATAGGTCACCAGCAACCCATGCATGCCGTATAAGAGGCGACTAACGGGATCGGGTGGTCAGGCTCGCTGACTTGGTTGATGCATGTCATCGATCCAAACTGCGTGAATCGATGCTCATGATGTCAATCACTGGATTGTCTGGTCCAGACTCGATTATTTACAGACCGCCGTCATATAGCTTGAATATTGCTGGGTGCGGCGTTAACAAACAAACAAGCAAACACTGTGAAAGGATCCGAACGATTCATTTTATTTATTTCTCAGACATATTTCTCAGGTGATCAAGTATATGCAGCGAACACATCATGTTAGTATGAAGGGCGTCAGTTTTAAAACTAAATCTGGTCAATATATTTATATTTAAGAAATAAACGATTCGTGGTCGTTGTTTATCGCACAATAAAACACTGCTGCGCCCTTCATGATGTATTCTCCCTGCAGTGTTTTATTGTACGATAAACAACGAACAAACATACAAACAAACATTTATTTTCAAAGTTCCATCTTGCCCCACTAACAATATTATACATTCCTGGGTAAAACCTGGAGAAACGTTAGCCTTTTCAACCAATCTGGACATCGGCAGAACGTAAACGAACAATGTACAATGGCTTCGCTTGTCTCCGCAAAAAGTTTGAAAAACCCGACGAATTAGATAGTTATATTTCTAACATTTTTTTCTCTCCCACCACTACGTATACATGTTTCACCCCCCCCCCCCCCCCCCCCCCCCCCCTAAAATGACTGACCAAATAATGTTCAAGTTTATACAATTATACATTAAAAAAAAAGAACTTCGCCATTATTTCATGCCCCAAGATAGTATCGTTTCAGTCAGCATTTTTTCCAAAGCAATGAGAAGCCAAACAGTTTGGGGGCGGGGGCGCGGGCGGGGACTGTTTTTGGTAAGAACAACCAGCGGGTCCCATGAACCATATATGTTGACAAAATGTTCCGACAATCTATCAATATCAGGATACATCTGGTCCAAATTGGTTTTTCCTACCCCCAAATTATACAATGGTCGGTGCTACATCTTTGGCTCCTATTCGGTTCCTGGATACACCCCAACCTCAAAATATACAATGGCGGCGGCTGAATGTGAACCATACACAACAGCACGGCACACAGTTGATATCGGCGTTGATATCGGCAGGTAGTATTCAGTGGGAGTTTTTCACACAGACAGATGTGACTAGAATTTTATCCTGCAGTTTAAAGCCCCATGCCTCATATATCACTGGAATCACATCCATATCACTGTCATACGGATGAAAAAAAGACCCAACGAAAAACAAAAAGGATGCGGCGATTCCAAGAACAGGTGGTGCTTGATTTGACTATATTTAATTTAACATGAATGCTGCAGTTTTGAGTTGCATTGCTTGCTAACGAGATTTGTGGAGCTGACAAGCCTAAAAACGTAAACGGGACGAACCGGGATTCGAACCCACAATCATAGGTTTCTTGCGTGCCCAAGGGACGCAACTCTGCACAGCGAATCGCCGTGGACTATCGTAAGAGGCGACTCACGGGATCGGGTGGTCAGGCTCGCTGACTTGGTTGATGCATCTCATCGTATTCCATTTGCGTGGATCGATGCTCATGATTTCAATCACTGGAATGTCTGGTCCAGATCGGCTATTTACAGACCGTTGTCATATAGCTGGAATATTGCTGAGTGCGGAGTGGCACAACAAACAAACAAACATTCCCTTCTGTTCACCTGTCTCCGAGTAAGTTGCCAGATTAATATTTTCACTGGTGCAAGGCTAAATACTATTACCTCATGTGGATTCCTCACATCTCCCTCACGTAAACCATCTCTCTCTCTCTCTCTCTCCTCTCTCTCTCTCTCTCTCTCATACACACACATCGGGAAACTGTGACAATCGATCATCAAAACACGTGCCATCCATTCAAACTTCCTGTAATATAACACACAAAGAAAGCGCTGGATACAGTCTAACACTGGTCCCCACCAGTGCACGTTTTGTAACTTAGCCATTTTATGCGATTCATGGTTTGTCGAGAGAGTACACTGGACAATTAGGCACCTCCTTGGCGAGAGGACTATAAAATATCAATTCAAATGACACAGAGAATATATTCTCACCTGAATCAGTGTTACGTGCTCTGTTCTCTGAGCTCCGCGTCAGTTTCTTTCCGTCTACGTGAGGAAAATGTGAGCGAAACAGCGATACCAGACCACTGACTAGTCATGTTCAGGGCCCTGTTCATTAGGCCCTGCTACAGCGCCATGAGCCAAGTGCGAGAGCAACCCAGAAACCAGTGTTCGCTAATCGATAGTACAACACGGAAGGGCTTTCCTTAACAGAATATGGATATAAATAGCTCGTCATACGCCGACTGTTGTGCCTGGCGTTTAGCGTTCTTTATTCTAACGGTGGTCTGGGTCAGGCCTACCAAAGAAAACCCGCAGAAGGCTCCCAAACAATGGAATGTGTGCACATCAAATAGTAATAGGCACACAAATTACAAACAAACACACAACCCTCATAAAGTTTGCATCGTAATGATAATTTTAAAGACCCGGCACATTTTCACTGGAGGTTCCAGCGTCAGGTGTTATTGAGCCTTCTACTGTTTTTTTTTTTCAGGCCCGTGGGAGTGAGCACTGAAGGAAAACCCTTGTAAACTTGACTAGGACACCTAGTAAATCAAGTGCGCGACCTAGCAGCTAATTATTGACGATCCACTGATTAGGGATCTTCGTAAAACATGGAAATACGAATTACGAATCTCCGTTGACGTCACGCCATTGTTTCATACAGCGTTTTTTTAGCAAGTACCTGGACTCAATCAAGTTGCAATTGAGTGAGTGAGGTTTTACGCCACTTTTAGCAATATTTCAGCATATATACTGTGCATCATATAAAGTGGTGTAAATGTTATGCTATTGAAAACATATTAACAAAATATTTGGTCCTTCGTCTGATCAATGTTTTCTCGTAACACATTCAGCGACAAACCACATACTTGATAACAGGAGTCAGAGTGACACGCCCTAAAAGAGGGGTGGTGGAAACCTCAGTCAGCAATATCAATATCGGTTCGATTGTTGTTTAACGCAGTATTTCAGCTATATAACAGCGGTCTGTAAATAATCGAGTCTGGACCATTGGTTGCTGAAGACCTATTCCACCCCGGATCTTCACGGGTCTATTACATTTGAAGAACCTGTGTCGAATTATCAACAATCATGTTTGTGTTTTTTAAGATCAACCTTCTGAAGAATGAACGAGACCTGGCATGAAATAGTTTGGACAGCCTCACAGCTGATCACTGAGAGCCACGTGTTCTGCGTGTGGACATTGGCAAGTAATCCTTGTCGAAGTATCATTCAAAAATCGTTTCAGAGAAAGAGTCAAGAAAACAGTGAATATTGTTGCAGTGTTATTCTTTGCTAAGATTGTTTGTTTGTTTGTTTATTTGTTGTTAAACGCCGCACTCAGCAATATTCCCGCAATATGTCGGCGGTCTGTAAATAATCAAGTCTGGACCAGACAATCCAGTGATTGATATAAATTGGGATCGATGACATGCATCAACTAGGGCAGAGCCTGACCACCCGATCCCGTTAGTCGCCTCTTACGACAAGCATAGTCACCTTTTACGGCAAGCATGGGTTGCTGAAGACCTGTTCTATCCTGGAATCATCACGGGTACTTTGTTAAGATGCAGTTTTCGGCAGTTTCAGTTGTTATGACACGCACTGGCCAAATGAATAATGCATGAATATATGAACATGCCCAGCATGGACTTTTCGAGTGAAAGGAGACAATCAACTGCACGGTCAGATAAACAATTATCCAATTCGACGGGCTTTTCAAACTTTTGACGGAGATAAGCGAAGCCATCGCACATTGTCCGTTTACATTCTGCTGATGTCCGGACTGGTTTAAAAGACTAATGTTTCCTCAGGTTTTATCTAGGAAAGTATAATACACTCTTCAAAACAAGAAAGGCACAGGAAGATGTTTAGTAAATTTATTGTACCTAAGAAAGTCGATATATTTAATTTAATATCATAGATAAAAATATGAACTTTTGGAGCTCGATAGTCAC